AATCGCTGATTTGGGCAAGAGGCGGCTTGACTCTTGTGCTGGCAATCGATTTTGCAACGATTTTGGCCAAGTTCAGCTCTCACCAAAGTTGAACATAGTCGTATGTTCAATGGCGGAATGTCGAAAAGCTTTCCGCCGTCGAAGAAGGGCATAAAGTCGGTGAGTCGTGCAGCGGGGAGATTAAGTGCAGTGAGCGTCATCTCATTTGGAGTGGCTCGACGTGTATCTTGGGTCCGTGTGGTCGGGGCATGGGGTGTCGCTGGGACCATTCTCATCGATGAACACCTCGGCATCATCACCGGGAATTTCTTTGAGCGCATTGGTCGGTTTTAATTAGTGCACGGGAGCTGGCTCAGACTTTGGTAGTCGAAGCTTCCTCTGTGCAAAGTATACGCCACCCCCTTCTACTTTTCACTCTCAATGACGACAGCAAAGTTTTTATGTAAGCGATATTCTTTTGCAACTGTACTCGGTCTATTGTCGACGATTCTTCGAGCGTGTCGTGCTGCGTCGATCAATCGCCCTGTATTTAATAACTGTGTCGCACATTCGTGCCAACATTCTTAATCCTAGATCGAGTTACATTGTGTTCCATTGCTTTCATAGCGATTGCTTTCTATCTCATGCGACGAAAGATGATTCAATGTGTGGGATGGAGATTAGCCGTACATTTGTTGCAAAATAAAATAAGAATGAGACCTGCACTATCAATGTCTATTCCCTACTGTACTTGGAGCTGTTGATTCTTTTTTCTCTTCACTGCATCTTCATCACATGCGCCTCCATAAGCTATTCATATAAATATTAGCAACATTCACATATTGTCGATACCGCTCAACTAAAACGTACTGTCATCAGCTCCGTACGATCAAAGTGATGACGGAATGGGTACGCCAACTTGTTCAGAACCAATAACTCATCGCGCAATTTGTCAACTGACCAGCCTTCCGTTTTCTCCACTAATAACTTTAAGACAGCCGCCATTCGAGCCTATAGAATGATTAATACCGTATCTTCACCAAAAACATTCAAATGGCGTACCTCGTCATAAATAAATTCGGGCAATTCCTGAAAGTCTTCCGTCGGTGCCGTCAGTTCAGTATCGTCTTCTTTCATGGTCAAAGCTTTCTCTTTCTCCATCGTCTCCTCAGGTCGAGATGCATGGTCTGTTTCTTCATCACTACTTTCCTCCTGAAGAGCCTCATCGGTCATCAAGCGCTCTGTGTAACGTGTGCCAAAGCATTTCCGTGATAGCTCAGGGTCGTCCGCAATATACGCCAGAGCATCAGCTACGCTATAGAGTGTCACGGTAACACCGTTGCGCTTCTTGCCAGGAGTAAATATAACACGCTGCACAGCTATTCCGGACGCTTCGTTCGATGCTTCGATGATGTCGAAATTATCGTCGCGTTTCCAGCCTTCCTCTTTCAAAAGCGGCCACAACAATTCATCAAAATAGTCCGTCTCATCCATTTTCTCTTCGTCCTGAATATATCGCACTGAAGTTGCAACATCGGTCGAGTCGGTAGTCGCTAATCTCGGCGTCTTAACCGACTGCATCACTGCATCATCCGTCAGCCGCTTAATAAATTTGACACTCACAGACTTTTCACTTCCTCCAAGAATATACTTTACGTTGTAAGACCCATCCTTGTTACGACTCTGCACGACACCAGCGCCACCTTCACGGTTAATTCCAGGATGCGTACGACTACTCACAAAAATTCGATCGCCCTCGATAAAAAAATCATCATTAGCACTGTCAATCTTGCCATTACTTGTTTCGGTAAAAATTGCCTCTTCGTGACTTTTACTCTCTCGTATATTCTCACAATCACCATCGTCAAACCATTGCTGAGCTGACGAGGTATCTGTCCCCTTTCGACAGTTGTCTTCACTTTTGGCTTTAGCTGAGAGTTCATCTTTCAGTGTCATCCCATTACTCACGCTGTTTGCCGTCGCACCGGAATTATTAGCTTCAACACTGATATCTGGGGCCTTTACTCCGCGAAGCCGCGCACTGGTACGTACATGTGGTGCTTCATATGATTGATCCTGACCCTTTCGTGTATCCTTGCCCACTTTAATAAAGCGCCGGCCATATTCACCATACATCAACGGATGCGCTCTTAGCCTTTTTGTCACCTCCCGGCATTTAGCAAATAGGTCGTAGCCTTGGCGAATTCGAAATCGGTGTGCGTACGACAGAATATTGTCCTTCATCGTGCCCGCCGCGTGGGCAATGTGGCGTGTTCGACTACGCTTAGGGTTGAACACATTAGCGTTTCGAACAATGAGCTGAATGTCATCCATGAACTGCTCAAAGCACGTGTACTCTTCATCATTTAGTTTGTCACGTATTGTGCTTAGGTCCATAGGACGCTTAACAATTAAATAGTAATTTGGTACTGCCACTGGATCCACAGGTACGTAAAATGGTGTGTACAGCTTTTGCGAATAACAGTAATGAAGTACTTGACCCAAAAAGATACGCAGCTCACGTAGAAAATGGAAATCTCGCTCTCTCCTCTTTTTTTGCTCTTCGGGACTCAGTTTTATCTGGGAAGGTGGGGATGGAAACGGAGCTAGCGGTAAAACCTCAAGTTTCTCGTCTCTTGTTTGCTTTGTTTTTGGTATTGTTGGCGGTGTAGCACATGCGCTCAGTATTTGTTCAAAATGAGCCATTCGAGCCTCCGAACTCGGCGCGCTCATCTCTATCACCATAGATGTAAACAAAATGCTCGAGTCCTCTTTAAATAATGCCAAGAGATCTTCTGGAAGTGTGTTCGCATCACACGCGGATGTTGTACAAGCTAGAAATAAAACAGGCAAATTCACCCGAGCTTGCAGGTTCATTAGCATCATTTTTAAAGTCAGATGCATAGATTCACTTGTATTTATCCACCACAACTCAATTTGAGGCAGATAAAGCACACATGGCAGACATTTCTGGGCCTCGCCGAGTCGTTGAATAAGTGCTTCTTCTGGAGAGTGCGAGCTCGAGTCAGCCACCAGTAAAGGATAATCGAGCGAGAAGTGTGTAAATCCCTCTAATGAATGTAGCAGTGCTGGACCAATGTATTGTTGACCCATGCTAACTTTACCGGCAACCAAAATGCGCGGAAAACCAGCCTGACGAGGCAAGCGAAGAGAAGCAATTGAGCGAACGCGCTCTTTTCGTATGCGCTGTTTTGATCGTTGCAATGCTGCTGGCATAGGCCGCCGACATTCGAGGCAAAACAACAGTACGCTCTCATCGTTTTCACATACTTTAGTTGATGTATCCATTTCTGATAAACAAGCACGATGAAAAGCTCCAGGACATGCATCGCAATAAAGCAATTCATCTCCCTCACCATGGCAAACGCTACAATCTTTATGCTTTGCATTTGTATATATATTCAAATCATCTTCGTCGTCATCATCTGTCGGCTCCACATCACTTTCTCTTGAGGTGTTAGCGTCGTCAATTGCTTGCTTCCCGAAAGGAAAAAGTGGAAAAAGCCGTGCCACCTCTCGCAACGTTTTTGTCAGCTGATTCTCTAATAATTTTTTCACAGCATGAGGTAACGGTGACGCAAAAGTGCTAACAGCTCGATGAGAAGCTGGAGTAATTTTCTTCGCTGCCTTGACGAAATCTCCACGAGATACAACCACTTTCTCGATATTAATCAGCAATTTGTCTTCACTTGCGTACACCTGAGGATAAACTCGACGCAATGAGCACAAGGCCGCTTCTGCACAGAGCGCTTTGATATCGGCACCGCAGTAACCGACAGTTTGCTCAGCTAGCTCCGATAAGAAGTGATCCGCTAATGGAGGTTTCCAATGTTTAGAGTGAATTGCCAGCATACTTTTTCGTTCAGTCACATTTGGCAACCTAAATCCTAATTCTCGATCAAATCGGCCAGGACGTCGCAAGGCTGGATCAATGGCATCAAGTCGATTGGTCGCTCCAATCACAACGACGCGGCCACGCGAGTCCATGCCGTCCATCAGTGCTAGCAGCGTCGATACAATTGACGCATGAATTTGATCTTGTTTGGCGCTACGAACAGGAGCCAAGCCGTCAATTTCATCAAAAAAAATAATTGCCGGCTGATTTCTCCTCGCTTCTTCAAATAAAAGCCGCAGTTGTCGTTCTGCTTCTCCAACCCACTTGCTTAAGCAATCTGCTCCTTTTCGCATGTAAAAAGTGACTTTTTGCCGCCCTCGTTCCTTCCTTTTTCCCTTGTGGACAAGATTAGCAGTCTCCTGTTCGGATGCACTGTAAAAAGAGCACGAATTTGCCAGCGCTCTCGCAAGTAGCGTTTTTCCTGTACCTGGAGGTCCATAGAATAGCACACCAGATGGCGGGGAAACATTATATTTGCTATAAAATTCGGGATACAATAGTGGAAGCATGACCATTTCTTTCAGCGCTTCAATGTGCGACTTCAATCCCCCCACGCTGTCCCAAGTAATACTACGATCCACCTCTACTGGCGTAATATCTGCACGTAAGCTTCCACTTTTTCGACCACTTTTCGATGATCGCCATGGGCTGCTTGTGCGCATACCACCATCCGAATCATCGTCTCCGATGTCGGAAGAAGAGGATGAAGAGCTTGAAGAAGATAAAGAAAGCGATCTATGATGACAGTTTCGACGTCCTCGGCCACGGTTTCTACAACGGCACGGGGAAGTAGAATTCATGTCAGAAAAGAATAATCGTCTAGTGCTTCCGGAACCGGTCGTCGTATTTCGCTTAATGGAATTACGTCGTTTATGATAATCTGTGTATGCAGCTGAAGTTTCTGGTGACGCTGTAGTCTCATCTTCTACATCATTTCGAAGCGTTTTTGAGCGGTCGCGGAGCAAATAGCGCCGCGACGTGTTTTCTACTTCACAGCCTCTTGTTGCTTGACTTCGAGTGGTCCGACTAGTCTCGTCGATTGGCGGTTGGCGACGTTGACGTAAATGATATCGACCGACATTTCCTGGTACTTGGTCAGTTTCCTCTTGCTCTTCATTTTCCGAGGTACCATCATTTTCCGATTCTGAGTTCTCATCTACGTGTTGGAGAGTTTCTATATGCTTATCTTCTTCCACAATCAATTTCGACTGCGCTCGCTTCATCGAGCGCTGGCTTCTCTTCGTTTGCAATGGTGATACATCACTCACTTCACTTGTCGTAAGACTCTCGCGTGATCGTAATGAATACCGTGAAGCAAAGGAATGTGGCTCGATGTCCGATGCTTTCACTCGGTCTTCGCGCTCCTTGAATCTAATTTGTCGGTTGATTTCTTGCATACTAATGGCTTCATGATACTGATTCTCACTTTCCTCCTCTATTTCAGCTTCTTCTTTAGTAACACGCCGTTGTCTCTTTAATCGACTATTCCGATTACGTAAATGTCGTCGTTTTCTTTGATTGTGTAATGGTAACTCGGTGTACGTCGAGTGAGAAGTAGGGAAAACATCGTTGTATATGGACTCGTCAAAACGTTTGGGTTTATTAGGCCGAGTGCGTAGCGAGTAGCGCGAGGAAGACGTCTGAAGTGCACTACCAGAGTCGTTTTCCATCTCTGCTTGTATGCGACGCTATCACAACCATACTTTGTCAAAAATCATTCTCATTCTGACACACAATTAACGTGACAAAGTACCGAGTGACGCCTCGTCACCCTGAGAGTTTCCATGTCGTTATTTTCATCCACTTCATCTGATGCAGCATCTTCCGACTGTGCCAATTTACATAACATTAATTGTCACTTCACATCACATACCATCTATTGTTATGTCTGTCATAGACTCAAAATGACTGTACAAACCTCTATCATTTCCATAGCAATAGAGCGAGCACGTCCCCGCGGGCGTTCTAGGAGGATAGGAGAAGAGTCTTAACAAAGAGAGTGTAAGGAGAGTGGGGATTTAAATGATAGCGTAAACCACACCATACCGCTATTGCTTGGAGACACCGCCGTTTCCAGTACGCTACTCATCTTGGTGGTTGACGTTAAAAACAGTTTTAAGCTTACTGAAGGTTAGTCATTTATTGCTAATAAAACAATGACTGCTTTCTCATCTCTTATAATTTATTGGATACGGTCAACAAATATACCCTTGATAATCCAATATATCCATTTATGACGCGACATTATTGGATCAGTCAAAAAAGGTTATGCGCTCTGAATTTTCAGTTAAAAATAAAAAGTTTTAGTGTGTCAATTTTATATAATAGCGGTTGATTTTCTAAAAAACGATCAAAAATACCTCCATCGAAATTATCTAAACTTCTCGAAGTGCGGTCACTAAACTGTTTTTACTAAATTTACAATGAAGAACAGAACTGAGTAATCACGAGGAGTACGCTGGTGGTGCCTTTAGGTTTCCAGTAGCGTTGACAAGCAGAGACTGATTACGTAGGTGTGTTGCGATGAATCGGCCAAAACCAGAAGACGTAAAGAAGATACTCAGGGAACGCACAAGGCGTGCTCGATCTGGCCCTCGGAGTATAGCCTGAAAGTGGGCCCCGAACTGAGTTAACTCGATAGCACGCCGTCGTCAATTCCAATGGCGGTCGATCTACACATAGGTGCTCATTGCGCGCTGTCCGAAGCACGACGAGGGCAACACTTCGAGTTTTCATCCGCAATGTAGCTAGAGTATCTGTGTCGGCCTCAAAGCCAGGTGCCCAAGCGGTTTGTGAATTGTGCAACTATCAGACCAACCCATACTGGAATGAATACCAAACCATACTGGAATGAATACCAAACCATACTGGAATGAATACCAAACCATACTGGAATGAATAGTAGCCGCCCAGTCTTCCAAAATAACACTCCAAAGCGCAGCAGCATGCGACGAACCGCCGGCTTCCCTACACTCGCGATAACCACAGGCTCCTGGTGTCAAAGAGTACAAAGGAAGTGAAACCGAGATTTCGTAGGAAGTAATTTCCAGGTGATGCGAAACTGGAGATCAGCGTAGACAGATAGAACCGTTTTGCTCAGGGTCTTCAACTGAGTCAGTTGTTATATTTTCAGCGGAGGCGTCTTCGACCTGGTGCGCTATGGGGTGGTCTCGCAACGGAAAGTAGAGAATTGGCCAAAGCTGCTGCTCGTCAGATTTAGGTAATCGCAGAATAATCTTTGGCTGTTGCTTCCGACGATCCCCAATGATTGGCCACTATGTCGTGAGTGGGCTGGGACCATGTATAATAGGCCGCCGACTTGTGAGCTCGATAAAGGCCTTTATAAAGCTAAATCAAGTGTGTAATACGAAGTCGTAACGATCACCTCCATCAAAAATCGCTAATGAAATTTAAGCCCTTGTGGCCATCCTCTACGCATGAAGTCTAAAAGGCAGCGAATTTCAGTTTTCGTAGAAAAAAATGGATGGCAGTATCGACACTGCAGCGAGGCTGCCGTAGCTCTAACGCTTAAAGAAGTGTTAGCCAAGGTCACCGACCTTCGTTCAATACTTAGAATATAGCGGATCGCAATGCGCTTACTACAAGAAAAATCACAACCTTAACCCAACAAACTTCTCCGTTCAAAACGTAGACTGTTTTTCTCGTATTTATCTGCGTCAAAGCAAAATCTGTGGTTTTCCTAATTAAATAGTAAACCCTCATTAAAATGTATAACTACTGGCAGTCTAGCCACGTAGTGGCTTTTTTGTTAATGTGAATCCACGTCATACCATCTTGTGTGACCCATCCCTTCACACCAGGGTACGCGTAGCCCCGTTACACTCTCCCCCCACAATTCAAATTTTACTGTCGCCTCGTACGAGGCTTGCGTATCTATGACATCTACATCCCCAGAACCTCCTGCACCCATTCTCTGCTCAAGCTTCCATGTGTCTAAGACACAAAGACACCCAGCCTCGTTTGGTTTAAGATCAACCGCGGTCATAGCCATACTTCGTCTCCAGCACCCGATGCAACTTCGGATAGCACGTCAGCGGCCCAAAGGGAAGCGCATTCCAATCCCTTGACAACCCCACGTGTGCCACGGGCGACAGATTCCCTCGTCGAGGATTCGGTTACAAGTCGAATACTTCTTTCCCAGGATGGAAAGAATAGGAGAGCAAAATGCACCAGCAGCGCGACGGAAGTCCTGCGAACACGGTACCCGTTTCCCGCTCTCTCGACTTCCGGATAAAGTGATATCATTACCAATTGCCTAGACGTGGCTCAGAAGCAGATGTTCAGGCTGCTAACAGGGCGGCTCTCATGCGCTTGCATACACGTTCGGTCTTAGATCCTCGTGTGGGATGCGGCTTCCGCTCGGCGGATCCCGCTACTGAAGCAACGGACGCGATCAACCGTTCGTTGGACGCTTACGTAATCGGGCCCCCGGTCAATAGATAAGCTGAGTCTGACCAACGAAAGCTTTCCGAGCTCGCTTCTTGGTATGTCAAGACATCCCAATAGATAGGTACTGTACTCAATATCGCGCTCAAAGAGGAGGTGCTCCTGTACCCGCGAGGCGGACTATTCATATGGTGCTCGCCCCTACCAAAACCGCTGCAGATGATGAAAAGCCCTTTGAGCAATGGGTGCAGTGGCACCGGAAACTTTCCTCGTTGTCCAGCTTACAGTGGAGCCACAAGGAGGTAAATGTGTGCGTGGAGCGCCATCTTCGGTTTGAGTTTGCCAAACTCAAGGCGCATCGCCGACTTCCTGTGTTTCATCGCCCTGTGACGTATAGATTCATCCATCACGCTCCCGCGAGGTCTGTGGCTTCTCACACAGGTGAGATGCGGCCACAGCAGCTCAGGGTCATAGCTTGAGATTAGCTCCTGGCCCTTCGGCTTCTCTGGCTATTGTCGAGAAGCGTGGGGCGTACGACGACGCGGAACCTCATGATCCCTCTAATCATATGCGTCTACGACGTCTAGGCAGTCTTGCCGAAGTGGCAACTTAAACACCACGAGTTCACGGAGTCTGGGTATCTCGTTTGACCCTGTCGACGGTGTCGAATCACTAGGCGTTCCAAATGATATTGAAACCGAAGAAGCGGAAGGAATATGGAGAACTTCGAGATAGGAGACCTGGTTTTATTAAATGATTATAACCTTCTTACACATGCAGTCTCTTCTGTCTTTGAGACAAAGCTCTGTACGGGGTACGTGTAACTTGTTACACTCTCCCCCATTGAAGATTGAGAACATTTTCAGTTCCAATCGATTATTGCCTTAACGAGGCTTGCGTGTCCGCTAGACACTGCAACTTGGTTCGTTGGAACAAAACGACTTCCGTGCTCAATAAGCCCTGTGTTAACGACACTGAAATCACCAAGTCTTGCTGGTTCTGACAGTGCACACGGGTAGAGCCCAACTTCGTCTCCCGCACGCGGCGCAATGTCGGACAGTGCGTCCGCGGCACCGAGGGATGTACATCCTAGGATCGATGAGCACAAGCGTCGCGCTCCGCGCACGCTATCAGTGACGAGTGACCTTGTTGAGGATGTGGAGGTGGTCGACTACGAGTCTGGCACTCCTTTTTCCGCGTGACTGAACGAGAAAGGCGAGCCGCGCCAGCGGCGTGATACGAACCCTGCTCGCGCCTTGCGGACCCCATGTCCGTTTCCTGACTTCTCGTCACCTAAGGGACGTGGTGAAATCACCGATGACCTCGACGGGGCATAAAGGCGGCAGCTGAAGCTGCCCGTAAGGCGGCTCTGATGCGCGCCCATCCACGGCCGGTCATTGACCCTCGTGTGGAATATGTCTTCCGCCCGGCGGATCCACAGGTAATCTCCGCATTGTGGGTACACGAGAGCCACCTCGTTGGGTACTCAGACGAGTGCGATAAGCTTCCAACGGAAATCCTTGTGGAACCAAGAAACGAGCTCGATGACCTTTCCGTTCGGCAAGCTCATCGTCCGTTATGGCCGGGGGTCCGATGATGTGGACGCGTCACGATCGAGTTACCGCGTTCTTCGCTTCCACAGCACCTGGAGAAAGCGCTACAGATGACGAAGCGCTCTTTGAGCGATGGGTGCAATGGCACCTGAAAATTTCCTTACTGTGTAACTGACAGTTGAGCCACAAGGATGTAGACATGCGTGCGGAGCGGCACCTTCGATTTGAGTTTGCCAAAGTCAAGGCACGCCGTCGACTTCCTTCATATTGTCGCCCTGCGACGTATGGGTTAACCCCTAACGCCCCCGCGAGCTCTGTGTCGGCGACCGCAAGAGCTCAGAGCCACTGCTTGAGCCCAGCCCATGGCCCTTCTACTTCCCTGGTTATTGCCGGGAAGCGCGAACATTTTAATCTCTCTGATCATAAGCGTCCACGGCGTCTGGGCAATCCTGCCGAAGTGGCGTCCAAAACTCCCACAAGTTTTTGGAGTCGGGATGTCCCCGCCACTTCACCAGATATTGGATTTGATCCTGGTGACGACGTCGTCTCACTATACGTTTCACGTGATAGCAGACGTCACCGTTCTCATCGAGATGAGTCGGTGGCGGGCGGTGACGACCGGGTTGACCGCCGTCCGGTGACTCATGATGCTCTTCAAGCACTTGAGGACGAGGTCTCTCGTGATTGGAGCTCCGCTGAGCGTCGTGCTGAAGCAGCATATCGCTGTGCGGACGCTCTTGAGGTTTTGAAGCACGTCGTGCGCCGGCTGCCTCACCTTGAGGGCTACCGCGCTCTGTCGGAGCGACTCCTAGCCGTGGAGCAG